AATTGACCTTGCTCATGGATGCCATGAGTGAGGCTAACATGGCATGTATGTCTCCTGGGTTGGACTGGCTAGATCCTTCCCCGGCATCCATGTTATTAGTCGATGTGCGTAGCAGTTTGAAAAGTTCTGCCTTCCTTGCTGTAGTGGGGTAGGGGATTTGTCGTCTCCTTAATTCCGTGGTTATACGCGGGATGGTCCAGGATCTGATTGATGCTGGACTAGCTAGTTCTCCTCCTTGTGTGGGAATGACAGCTCTAGCCGGGGTGCTAGGCAGGGAGAATTCCTCTACCCCTTCCTGAGACAAACTATAAATAAAACAATTAATTAGTATATGGAACCACCAAATTGTACTGGCAGGCTAGCTAGGCTGGATGGCGAAAGTATTATACTTGTTTGGTGACAGGTGAGGCCCTGCTAATTGCCAAGCGGCTTGAGAGGCTCTATCTATGCGTTGGCGCGAGGGGTTATTGAGGCCACTTGATGTAGTGGCAGGAGTTTTAGGCCTCTCGGTGACTGTACGACAGAAAACAGGGGAAGGGAGTGACAGGTAAGGCCCTCTCTATGCAACATGCGAGGCGGCTAGCTAACGTGTGGCCCGATGGGTGTTTGCCTCTGGAACGTTTGAGGCGGGGTGTTGGCCTCGCGGGACCACTAACTGATGGCGACTGCCAAGACGGGGTAAATACTTATTGGGAATCCTGTGACCCTATTGCCAGTACTCTAAACTAGGGGGACGAAATGAAATGTATGGGTAAAAGAGAGTAGTATGATGAGTGTGGAGTGTGAAAAGAACAGACTTATAGCCTGTAGCAGCAATGTTTTAAAATTATGTTGATACCATGGGAATAGATATGAGTGGCTCAGAAATGTTTGCATGCTTGAATAAGACATCTGAGGGAGGCCGTGGCCTATGTACAAACAAACAATCTATGTGTTATGTGATAATGGTGTGTAAAGGAAAACATGAAATGTAGGTTATATACATATGCATATGACTGTGCAGGAAACGTATGATTGGTTGGATCAGTACGTGTGATTCAACCCGAGTATGCATGAAAAAGGAATTAAGCCTTATGTGTCATCGTCATGACAGAGAAATGAGGCCTGTAACATAGGCTGAGTGAATTGAATTGAAATGGATAATTATAAAACTCCTGGCGTGGGAGTTCAATGATCTGTACAGAAATGTAGCTGGTTTTATAGAAAGGGACATGGATGAGGTCATGGCCTACTTTACACAGCGTTATGTATGATATGTAGCAGAATAACCAAAGGCAGGGATACCCAAAATGATTTAAAATGATGTAAAGTGATGTATATCTATATGATATATTTGTATTGAAAAGACGTATCAACCCGAGAATTATTGCTTAAATGAACCTGTATCCTTTTGTATGTGTTGTAGTAATAACACAGAAGTGAGGCCTGTAACATAGGCTGAGTCCATTTGTATGAATGGATAAGTAATGCAGACCCCTGAAAGCGTGGGAGTCAAATGGTCTATACAGATAAGTGGACTTGATTTGTATGGACGTAATACAATACTGACAATATTTAAAAATAATAGAAATAATCTATTTAAACAAGCAATTCTTAACCGAACGTTATATACACATGAAATGGTGAATATAATTCATGAAAGGATTATACGTAATACATAAAAATAAAGCCGAAAACAAATGTGAGGGAAACACAGAAATTAGATTAGTTTAACCGTATGAATTTATGCGAACCGAAAGCGTGTTTGAGCGTATGTGAAAATTGCCGAACGGCAAAAACAACCGAGTGATAATTCGTTTCAATGTAACATGAAATAGTTGATATGCGAAATGACTATTGAACGAGTAAATTGTTCAGCCGAATGACCGTATGAATGAAAAAGCCCGCGAATGGCTTGAAATATTCGTGTCATAACCAGGGAAAAACCGTAAAGCGAGGACCCGTGCTGTACCGTACGCCGTGGGAACTGGTCCTGGCGTGACAGGTAGGTCTGACTTATGGTTTAGGAGTCCCTGGGACGCGATCTACAACGAAGACCGGAGTCAGAAGAAGCTGGACGGGCGGAGAGGCCTGAACAGGATTCCTGGACACAGCTAACGTGGTGAAAACCTCGTGGATACTGAACCCAAGATGGTGTCTGAGAGAACCCGGAAGTGGATCCTCATTCAACGCTGACCTCGAACGGTAAGGAGCAAGGTAAGGAGAGTGCCTTAAGTAGGCTAGGGGTAGCAAACCAGCACCTCCCACAAATCCAGGCAAATTGCCTTAATACATATATATATTATAAATATGTTAATAAAAATAAATAACAAAAAGTAAAAATAATTTTTAATAATTAAAAAAATATATATATGTAATTTTATTCTAACAGTATTTTGATATTAATATATATATATATATTTATAATCAAAATACACTTAGAATGTAATGATATATATACATATATCTATGTATAAATAAATAAAAATAATACGAAATATACATATGTCCATATACATAATTACATAAATAATTTCATAAATATACACGTAGACGTCAAATATATAAATATGTATATATATATATTAAAATTCTATGTGCATATTTATGTAATATTTTTACCTAATTAAGTAATTTTAATGATTTCAATTTGAGGGACCTGCCTGCCAACCCAGGCCGAAAGTCCAGAGAATTTAATTTGCTAGCACTGTGTTTAACCCTGTAACTTTCTATGACATCCTAAAACTTGTACATGGGGGGAACTGTTTTACTCGGAAGACTTCGCTGAACACAAATATTAGTGTTTCAAAACAGTAAAACATATCACAGCGATGATATTGTCAGTGAAAGTGAATTTTTTTGCATTTTTCACACACAAAAGGCACTTTCACTGATGATATTATTGCTATGATACATTTTACTTTTCTGATACACTAATATATGTGTTCAAGTCTCCTGAGTATAACAGTACCCCACATGTAGAGATTTTATAGTGTTTTTGAAAGTTACAGGGTCAAATATAAGGCGTGATTTAACTTTTTTATTTTATTGAAATTTGTCAGATTGGTTAGGTTGCCTTTGAGAGCGTATGGTAGCCCAGGAATGAGAATTAGCCCCTTGATGGCATACCATTTGCAAAAGAAGACAACCCAAGGTATTGCAAATTCGGTATGTTCAGCCTTTTTTAGTAGCCACTTAGTAACAAACACTGGCCAAAGTTAGCGTTTTTTGCTTTTTAACACACAAACAAATATAAACTTTGGCCAGTGTTTGTGACTAGGTGGCTACTAAAAAAGACTGGACATACCCCATTTTGAATACCCTGGGTTGTCTACTTTAAAAAAAATATGTACATGTGAGGTGTGATTCAGGGATTTATGACAGATAACGGTGTTACAACGTCACTATTGATAAATGTAAAATATATATATATTGAAACAGCAATTTCCTACTTGTATTCATAGGCCTAAAACTTGCAAAAAAAAGCAATAAAGCATGTAAACACTGGGTGTTTTTAAACTCGGGACAAAATTCTGAATCTATTTAGCAGTTTTTTTTCATTAGCTTTTGTAGATAAGTAAAAGATTTTTAAAGTAACAGTCCAAAAACATGTTTTTTTTTCACCATATTTATTTATTTTTTTTAAATAAAATATATGACATGATACAAATAATGGCATGTAAAGAAAGCCTTTCTTGTCCTGAAAAAAACAATATATAACTTGTATGGGAACTGTAAATGAGAGAGAGGAAAATTACAGCTAAACACAAACACCACAAAAGTGTGAAAACTGCTCTGGTCCTTAACGTACAACTTTCGCAAAAACGGGTTAAATATGTGATAACAAGCATTTAAAATACAAATAATACAGAACATTGGAGAACAAGCAATTGCTTTGGTCAGAGATTGTACAATTAATTATGTTAATACAGGGCTCGACAAATCCCAGGCACCAGGTCGCCAGGGCGACTAAAAATATTTCCAGGGCGCCTGGGATTTGTCAACTTTTTATCCAAATACCTAGCTGGGCAAATAATGGAGCCGGCCATCCAGCCGAGTGAGCATGTTGACGGCTGGCTAAGTGAGCGTTGTAGCCGGCCGCCACGAGCTTCATGGAGGCGGCCGGCTAAGTGAGCGTTGTAGCCGGCCGCCCTGAGCTCCATGGAGTCGGCCGGCTGAGTGAGAGTTGGAGCCGGCCGGCTCAGTGGAGCATCCAGGCGGTCGGCTGGGGCAGCGTGCGAGGGAGCAGTGATCTTCCAGCGGCTCCTCTCTGCTCCCTAGCGCTGTTTAATGATGCCGGGAGCCGGAATATGACGTCATTCCGGCCCCGGCATCACAGGGAGCAGAGAGGAGCTGCAGGTAGATTACTGCTCATTCTCACACAGGAAGAGAGAGCAGCCCCACTGGACCCCAAGGAAAGTCCACTCAGCATTCCCAAAAGGTAGGGAGGCTGGGTGGATAAGAAAAAGTTAATTTGTGTTTGAGAAAGTGTATGTCAATGTGTGTTTGTGTATGTCCCTGTCAGTGTGTGCCTATGCCTCTGTCACTGTGTGTGTGTATGCCTCTGTCAGTGTGTGTGCCTATGACTCAGTCAGTGTGTGTGCCTATGCCCCTGTCAGTGTGTGTGTATGCCCCTGTGTCAGTGTGTGCCCCGGTCAATGTGCGTGTGTATTCCTCTGTCAGTGTGTGTGCCCATGCCTCTGTCAATGTGTGTGTCAGACTCACATTGACAGTGCAGGTTATTTCAATGTGCATAGAGATTTGGGATAGTGAGCAGGTACCTTTTCTTGATTTTGCTTTATGTATTTGGGCATATGAATATTATAGAAATTGATGCCGTCTAGGAATAGTGGGAGTTTGAGTGCAAGCAGGAGAGTTTTGCTCAGTCGGGCCAGGTGGGGGTGGCTTCACTCTAGTGCATAACCATGGTGGTTGACAAGAAGCAAATAATGACACACCCAATTGTACACTTGTTTTGACAGGAAATAACTTTTAAGTTTCATTTCTTGTTCCCGCTCACAATGATGGCATCTGCAGACCTGAGAGATGAGCTAAACTGCTCCATCTGCCTGAATATTTATACCGATCCAGTAACTCTGACATGTGGACACAACTTCTGCCTGCTCTGCATTGGGAATGTGCTGGATACACAGCAGGAATCTGGAATTTATACCTGTCCTGAGTGCAGAGCAGAGTCACAGGATCGTCCAGCACTGCAGAGAAACACAACTCTGTGTAACATCACAGATCGTTTTCGATCTGCCCAGCAAATGGAGGAAGATACGGGGATCGCCTGTACTTACTGTTTGCACATTCTTGTACCTGCTGCTAAAACATGTCTGCTTTGTGAAGCTTCTTTGTGTGAAACCCATCTAATGGTCCACAGCAAGTCAGCAGAACATGTCATAACTGAACCCACTACTTTCTTGGAAAACAGAAAATGCTCAGTACACAAAAAGGCACTGGAATATTATTGCACTTTTGATGCTACCTGTATCTGTGTGTACTGCAACGTGATTGGAGATCACAAGGGGCACCAAGTGAAGATATTAAATGAAGCCTCTGAAAATAAGAAGAACAACCTGAGAGACAATTTGAAGGTACTGATGTCACAGAGGGTGGGAGCTGAGGAAAGAGTTGCAAGTCTGCAAAAGCACAGGACAGATGTGAAAGAAAAGGCAGTTGTTGAAACTGAGCGAGTTACTGCTGTGATCAGGGAAATCAGGGAACAGTTAGAAGCCGTAGAGAAACAAGTCCTTGGTGAGATCTCTAACCAGGAAGAGCAGGTTTCACTTCAAGTCTCAAATCTAATCCAGCAACTGGAATTAAAGATGGAGGAGCTGGCCAGGAAGATAATTCACACTGAGGAGCTGTTAAACATAACTGACCCATTAACTGTTCTACAAGAAAAGGAATCACTCAGTGCTGGATTTTATGCTGTTCAGAGGGGAGGAGGAGAGGTTCTAGGAGATCTGGATGTAGGTGTGATCTTGAGTACATTACATTGTGGCTTAGGTAATATAATAACTGGTTTAAAGAATAAACATAAGATCATGGTGATTTCAAACACGTTACTAGATATAAACATGTCTTCAGACATATCACTGGATGAAAACACAGCTAACAATAATGTAATTCTATCACAGGGCTTAAAAACTGTATCTTGGACACACACTAATCAAAATCGCAGAGACACACCGGAAAGATTTCAGCATTGTCCTCAGGTTTTAAGCAGGGGGAGTTTTAACTCAGGACGACATTACTGGGAAGTGGAGACCAGTAAGAATGGGTGGATTATAGGGATGTGCTATCAGAGAGTAGTTAGGAAGAAAAACCAATCATACTATGCACATCAAAACACATTAATCAATAGAAATTTATACAACAGACTCCCTAGTCAAAATGATCCAAATTATGGTATAGACTCCTATTTTGGTGATAACGTTTCCTGGCAATTGCGTTGCTATAATAATCAATACTCATTTATTTGTAATAGTCAAGTATCCAGCCTAAATATTGATTCTACCTGTCAGAAATTAGCGATGTACCTGGATTATGAGGCTGGGAAGCTGTCATTCTATGAGCTGTGTGACCCTATCAGAAAAATATATACAATAGCATATACCTTCACTGAACCTCTTCATGCAGCAATTTGTGTCTGGGATAATGCTTGGGTAAAAATCACAACTTAAAATTCTGACACAGACTAGTGAACGTGGTTAGTTATATAATGGCAGCGCAGTGTTATGGTGATATAAAAAGGGTAGAAGACTGCTACTAGTAGATACACTTTAGTCTTTACTACAACCACTGGAAAGCTAACAGTGATTTAGATCAGGTAGTAGATACCTAGAATAATATTGTTGTGGATGTATAAAAGGCTAACAGTGATACATAAAAGGTAGTAGATAATAATTAGTAGATATTAATGATATTAATGAAAGTATTTAAGGCGAACACAGTAAAAACATTTAATGATAATTCAATAATGCTAGGGATGTGTGTAAAGTCACTATTGTTATTATTATAAATAGCATGTATAAAGCATCAACAATTTTTGCAGTGCCTCATAGTTATACAATGAAGCAATAATAATATTTATTTAACTAACATACAAAAATAATGTTACCAGACACAAGAGGAGAAGAATAACATGGTCAAAAAAGCTTAAAATGAAAAGGAAATAAGTAAAAAAAAAAAAAAAAAGAAATCAGCCTGAGATTTTACCATTAGCAAACTATATCTGTTGGTTGCAATCTGAAACATTTTTTTTATTATTTATTTTGGTTCAATTTGCTATGTTAACTGTTTTGTTCTTTTTTTTTTAAGCACCAATTGTGGAGTGTGTTTCAATATAAGTTGTGGTCAAGACTAGTCAAGATTGGCTTCTCATTGCATCATGGAAACCTCAAACTGAGTGGTAGCTTTTTACTAATAAAACGCAATGCTTCCTTGCCTTGTGATTAAACCCTTAAGGACGGAGGCAATTGTACACGTTCTGATCAAACCAAAATGTGCACAAACCCTAGAGTTGGAGCTATATGTCTGTTCAATCATTATTTACCTGTTTCATATGAAGTGCACCTACACCTATTATATATAATTTTGTTCAGGAGAAACAGGACTTTCATTTCCAATCAAATATTTATAAATGAAACATAATTTAATATGAATAAAATCTTTAAAAGTTTGAGAAATTAAGAAATGTTATTTTCCAAGTTCTCTGTGGCATTTTAACTTTGCATAGATTGAACATGTGTGACATTATGACATTAATACAGTTGCGACAACATCACTGTAAGACATAACATGAGAACATGAGAAAAGGGACAAGTGACTGCACTGAGGCATAGCTAACAACATTACTGAAGGGTATTGTCTATACAAGGTCAATGTAAGAGTAGTCAAGATAACACTTTGCCAGATTGGTTTGTTTGGCCTATATTGCCTTTGAGACCGTATGGCAGCCCAGGAATGAGAATTACCCCTATCACTGCATACCATTTGCAAAAGTACAACTCAAGGTATTGAAAATGTGGTACGTCCAGTCTTTTTTTAGTAGCCACTTAGTCGCAAATCCTGGCCAAAGTTAAGAGTTCATATTTGATTTATGCATTTTTTACAAAAAAACTGCCTAATCACCTATGATATAATCTAAAACGCTCATCAACTGGTGGTCTCAACTGCACATTTTAGAGTGGCCTTTTATTGTGGCCAGCCTAAGGCACACCTGTGCAATAATTATGCTGTCTAATCAGCATCTTGATATGCCACACCTGTGAGGTGGATGGATTATCATGGCAAAGGAGAAGTGCTCACTAACAAAGATTTAGACAGATTTGTGAACAATATTTGAGAGAAATAGGACTTTTGTGTACATAGAAAGTCTTAGATCTTTGAGTTCAGCTCATGAAAAATGGGGGCAAAAACAAAAGTGTTGCGTTTATAATTTTGTTCAGTATATAGAGAGGATGATGTGGAAGCTAAAGGCATACACTCAAAATGGGATTAACCCATACAAAACTACCAAGGTAGTGAAAAAAGGAAGAAAAGAGATCTGAGTGCCCTAGTTTAAAAAATATAATTTTTAATGATAAAGGTTAAAAAGTAAAAACGTAGGTACCCATGCGAAAATGCACAAAAATGGTCAGCATATGCTTATAATAGGCTGTACACTAATAGATCACTATGTACAAGAACCATAAACCTATTAAAAAAAGTAGTATATATATACACTGCTCAAAAAAATAAAGGGAACACAAAAATAACACATCCTAGATCTGAATGAATTAAATATTCTTCTGAAATACTTTGTTCTTTACATAGTTGAATGTGCTGACAACAAAATCACACAAAAATTAAAAAATGGAAATCAAATTTTTCAACCTATGGAGGTCTGGATTTGGAGTCACACTCAAAATTAAAGTGGAAAAACACACTACAGGCTGATCCAACTTTGATGTAATGTCCTTAAAACAAGTCAAAATGAAGCTCAGTAGTGTGTGGGGCCTCCAAGTGCCTGTATGACCTCCCTACAACGCCTGTGAATGCTCCTGATGAGGTGGCGGATGCTCTCCTGAGGGATCTCCTCCCAGACCTGGACTAAAGCATCTGCCAACTCCTGGACAGTCTGTGGTACAACGTGACGTTGGTGGATGGAGCGAGACATGATGTCCCAGATGTGCTCAACTGGATTCAGGTCTGGGGAACGGGCGGGCCAGTCCATAGCATCAATGCCTTCGTCTTGCAGGAACTGCTGACACACTCCAGCCACATGAGGTCTAGTATTGTCTTGCATTAGGAGGAACCCAGGGCAAACCGCACCAGCATATGGACTCACAAGGGGTTTGAGGATCGCATCTTGGTACCTAATAGCAGTCAGGCTACCTTTGGCGATCACATGGAGGGCTTTGCGGCCCCCCAAAGAAATGCCACCCCACACCATTACTGACCCACTGCCAAACTGATCATGTTGGAGGATGTTGCAGGCACCAGAACGTTCTCCGCGGCGTCTCCAGACTCTGTCACGTCTGTCACATGTGCTCAGTGTGAACCTGCTTTCATCTGTGAAGAGCACAGGGCGCCAGTGGCGAATTTGCCAATCTTGGTGTTCTCTGGCAAATGCCAAACGTCCTGCGGACCTGTGGACGTCGGATCCTCATGGAGTCTGTTTCTGACCGTTTGAGCAGACACATGCACATTTGTGGCCTGCTGGAGGTCATTTTGCAGGGCTCTGGCAGTTCTCCTCCTGTTCCTTCTTGCACAAAGGCAGAGGTAGCGGTCCTGCCGCTGGGTTGTTGCCCTCCTACGGCCTCCTCTACGTCTCCTGATGTACTGGCCTGTCTCCTGGTAGCGCCTCCATGCTCTGCACACTACGCTGACAGACTCAGCAAACCTTCTTGCCACAGCTCGCATTGATGTGCCATCCTGGATGAGCTGCACTACTTGTGCCACTTGTCCAAATTGGGCCCAAAGTGTCAATATTTTGTGTGGCCACCATTATTTTCTAGCACTGCCTTAACCCTTATGGGCATGGAGTTCACCAGAGCTTCACAGGTTGCCACTGGAGTCCTTTTCCATGACGACATCACGGAACTGGTGGCTGTTAAAGACCTTGCGCTCCCCCACCTTCTGTTTGAGGATGCCCCACAAACGCTCACTAGGGTTTAGGTCTGGAGACATGCTTGGCCAAACCGATCATGTTTAGCAAGGCAGTGGTCATCTTGGAGGTGTGTTTGGGGTCGTTATTATGTTCGAATACTGCCTTGTGGCCCAGTCTCTGAAGGGAGGGGATCATGCTCTGCTTCAGTATGTCACAGTACATGTTGGCATTCATGGTTTCCTCAATTAATGCAGGCCCAGACCATGATACTATCACCACCATGCTTGACTGTAAGCAAGACATACTTGTCTTTGTACTCCTCACCTAGATGCCGCCACACACGCTTGACACCATCTGAACCAAATAAGTTGATGTTGGTCTCATCAGACCACAGGACATGGTTCCAGTAATCCATGTCCTTAGTCTGCTTGTCTTCAGCAACCTGTTTGCAGGCTTTCTTGTGCATCATCTTTAGAAGAGGCTTCTTTCTGGGACGACAGCCATGCAGACCAATTTGATGCAGTGTGCAGCGTATTGTCTGAGCACTGACAGGCTGATCCCCCCACCCTTTCAACCCCTGCAATGCTGGCGGCACTCATATGTCTATTTCCCAAAGACAACCTCTGGATATGACGCTAAGCACGTGCACTCAACTTCTTTGGTCGACCACGGCGAGACGAGGCCTGCTCTGAGTGGAACCTGTTCTGTAAAACCGCTGTATGGTATTGCCCACCGTGCTGCAGCTCAGTTTCAGAGTCTTGGCAATCTTCTTATAGCCTAGGCCATCTTTATGTAGTGCAACAACTCTTTTTTTCCCAGATACTCAGAGTTCCTGGCCATGGGGTGCCATATTGAACTTCCAGTGACTAGTATGAGAGAGTGTGAGAGCGATAACACCAAATTTAACACACCTGAGACCTTGTAACACTAATGAGTCACATGACACCGGGGCCCAGTTTTGACATTTCCACTTAGAGGTGTACTCACTTTTGTTGCGAACGGTTTAGACATTAATGGCTGTGTGTTGAGTTATTTTGAGGGGACAGCAAATTTACACTGTTATACAGTCTGTACACTTACTACTTTACATTAGCAGAGTGTCATTTCTTCAGTGTTGTGTCACATGAAAAGATATAATAAAATATTTACAAAAATGTGAGGGGTGTCCTCACTTGTGTGAGATACAGTACATATGTGTGTGTATGTAAAATGTTCTTATTATATTTATTTGGTCTAATTTTGTTTCAACTTTTTTTGCAGTTTGGGGGACTACCTGACAACCCAGACAGTCCCCCTGCAAGCAGTTCAGCAGACTTCCATTCCGGCCATGTGATAAGGGACATTTCTGTACTCATGGTATCTATATGTTGAATAAATCCAATGAACTTTCTTGCATAAATGCAATGTTGTGTATGTATTTGTTAATAATAAAATATTTTCTGAAATTTTATCCAAAACCAGGGACTAAATGGCTGCTTTCAGTGTCAAAAGCCCAGCAGATCAATATCTTGAATGTCTAAATTTTTTGATATATACTTTATGTTTTCGGTGACCACCATTAGACTCAGCTGATACAAACAAGTAGTGTGTAACAATCGTGCAGATATAAATCAGAGCAGCTCAAAACACTCGTGAAGAGTTCCTCACTTCCCTCACCAAATAACAATGTTTAATGGAAGTATATTACAAGTGCAAGACTTATAACATATAAATGGAGTGATGTGTAAATATGTAATAATTAAGTCTTTTTTATTTATACAGCACTTCACTTCTATGTTATAAGTCATGCACTTTTAATATACTTATATTAAACTCCGCTATCTTACAAATCAAAATATGATGAAATGGCAAAAAAATATGTGGAAATCCACCCTTTGACGATCTGAAGAAAGTCCACTTGTTGGTCTCTAGATATGTTTTCCTTTATCTCCAACTGAAAAGCATATTAATTAAATATGTCTACATGGAGCCAGGCATGCTTATGGCATATTGGCCCAAAGTCTTGTTTTGCTGCTGGAATACTCCTGCTAAACCTAAACTGCTATCGCAGTGTTATCATACAATCCAAGGGCATTTTCGCTCCCAAAAACACAAATGTCTGCTGCAATGGGAGGCAGAGGGAAGAGAGACTATATTGGGCAATAATTGGGTTCAAGCACTTAATGCATCGGGGCAGGGCTCGATAAATCCCAGATGCCATAGCAACCACAAATTTTGTCCTAGCACCTGGGTGTTTGTCAGTCCTTTCAGCACTGGCCGCCTTAGTGCCACTCGAGGCAGTCAGTTGTGCAGAAGGGAGCTGTAATCTTCCTTCTCTGCTTGCAATTGATAAAGCCTGTTTTTTGGCGAAACGCGTTGTTTTTATAAGAATCCAATAAAAGATAGAATGGCATGTCCCGGACTCGGACAAACAATGGGTCCATATGGAGCGGCTTCAGGCCAGGGGGCGTATTCCATCGATGGTATGGATACAAAACCTGACAAACGATGGTATCCTGCGGAACCACCCATTCATAGGCGCAACACTGAGAACATGGACAACCATCCGATTCAAGCTGCAGCTCACCACGAACCCGGCCCCCCTGACACCTGTGATACACAACCCGGACCTGGCGGGAGGCCTGACACAGGGGGATATTGAGGGACTGGGGGAGGGGACGAAACAATACCTTCGGACATGGTGTGCTAATAAAGCCCTAAGGCCGCTGGAAGCCATGCTGGGCCAGAGCAGGGAGACAGGGATCTTACGATTTAGGTACCACCAGATACGCCAGTACTATGCCACACTTCAGGGGAAACACCTGATCCACCGAGACCTCACACACTTTGAAACGCTATGTGAAGGGGGAACACACCCGACACGCGGGATATCGACCCTATATGCCATGCTCCTGGGTGCCGACGCGGGACCCCCGGCACACTTCCACTCAAAGTGGGAACAAGCAACAGGCGTCACCTTAAAGGAACCACAATGGGAGCAAATACACGTTCTGTCCCACCAGGGGATACTTAGTTCTAAAATGCAGGAACTTAATTATAAACTCCTGACGCACTGGTACCGGACCCCCGCACGACTCCATGCCATGGGGGTCACCCCCGACAACACGTGTTGCAGATGTGACATCGCCGAAGGGACGGCATTACACCTGTGGTGGTCTTGCCCTCGGATAGCCCCCTTCTGGCAACAGATCCATGACAAAGTGGTGGACATCATGGGGGAAGACATCCCCATGGAGCCCCTCCCTATGCTTTTAAACCACACTCAGATACCCCTGGGGCGTTACAAGAAAACCCTTAACAGACACTTTCTCAACGCAGCCAAAAGCCTCATCCCCGCCAGATGGAAATCGCCAGTTGTCCCTACCATTACTTAGTGGATAGAAAAGGTCAATGAACTTTATAACATGGAAATTCTTACGGCAGAACTCAGGGGCACGCAAGACCGCTGCACTCGCCTGTGGACACCGTGGATCTCCTACAGCTCGGACCGGAGGTGGGGGCGGCCGAGGGCGGACCGTCTGAGGCCAGACGAGGAGGCGGAGTAGCGTGGGAGGAGTCTGGATCGCGGCCGCGCGGGACCCCCCACCTTCCCCCCCCTCCTTTTTCCCTGTTTTTTTTTTCTCTCTTCTTCTTCTTCTCTCACTCTCTCTCACTCTCCCTCTCTCTCTCTGTCTCTCCACATGCCCCAACGATGAAGCGAAGGTGACCGACAGGGGAGGAAAGGGGACCTTGACCGGAGTAAACACATGAAAGCCACAGATAGCAGGCAGGCCGGAGACAGCCCGGCCAAGGTTAATTCAACAAATCATCAGAGGGGGGGGGGTGCTGGACCCCGGGCAATACACCCGAACGACTCAGAATACCACCGAGGGGGGGCTCGCGGGGACCGCATCTGGACCCAGGGGGACCACCACCCCCTATTCGAGCCAGAGGAGCTTCGCTCCCACGCTGCAAGCTAAACAAGGTCCTGCACCTCGCCAACTACAATATATGCTCACACACATGGTGGAACACTTGCTAAACGCCGGACGAAAGGCAAGCCAGAGCGATCCCGGCTTTATAAGGCAAATAGGCTCGGGGTTGGTCGGGGAATGGTGTTTCCCTCTAAAAGGCAGGTCCAACATAAAAGTCTACTAAGATCACTAGGTCTAAGAAACGGAGAAATGAGGCCTGATAAAGACTGGTGGGGATGGGGGGGGTTGGTGGGGGGGAGGGAGCTAATACGGCAGGGGGGGTGGAGAGGGGGGGAAACCTAGGAATGAAACCCTACAAATATTGTTGGGCATAAGGTTTAGGGGCCTTGCGAAACCTGTTATACCGTGTCTCTTGATATGATTTGACCTGTATTGTAACCTTACTACATACAAATAAAGAATGTCAAAAAAAAAAAAAAAAAAGAATCCAATAAAAGTATTTTGCACACTTATTTTTATTTGTTGCTGTTTTATCCTGGCTGATTTTTTTAATCATTTTAAAGATCCAGTACTACAAAATAAATCCCTGGTGAGGATTATTCCACCTACGCCTGGTTCATAGAGCAGTGTGGCTGCTCTGAACACTGTGAGTACATTTTATTTTACCTTTCACTGCTATTTTTTATACGGTAAACACTATGGGCCTTCTTTTGTGATTCTTATTTCATATGACCAGCACTACAAGCATTGCTAGAAGGATATCCTACATGTGGGGAGTTTAAATACCACTGTATGCTGTTTTACTCAGAGCTGGTTATAGCTCTCCCAATTGTAAGTCGGCACTCTTAGGACCTCAGTGTTGTCTGTTGTTGTAGTTAACCTACGTTATTGCACCATTGGGCTTTTCTCCCTTTTATGTATTTTATAGGCTGACGCTTATCTGGAATGCTGTAAGAAGTCTTGAGGATACACCTCCAAGTGTCCAGTTATATCCTACATGTGGGGAGTATTAAATACCACTGTATGCTGTTTTACCTAGAGCTGGGCATAGCTCTTTATATTGTGAGTTGGCACTTCTCTACTTCTATGTTGTTCGTGATCCAGCTTTCCTAAAACGTTTTTGCACTATTGGTCTCTGTTTCTGATTTTTTTTTCATATTTACCACTGAGGATTCAAAGCAAGGACTGAAGAAAATACACTCCAGGTCTTTGCTGTACTTTAAGAGACTCTTTATATTATTGCTGATTTTTGTTTATTATCTCTCATTGTCCAACTTAGCGCACCCTGTATTTGTTGTATGTTGTTCTCTGCTTGCACGCCCTGCTGTGATTCTGGGCGACAGGACATGTCATTACCCTGGCACTAAATGGTGTGTGAGGGAGCAGAGCAAATAGAGTATGAAGATTACAGGACCACAGCAACCACACTAGACCCCATGGAAAGGTAGGGAGGATGGGTGGATGTAAATTAAATAAATCAAATCATAATCATTTATGAGTGCGTATGTCTGTCAGTAAATGTGTTTATGTGCCTGTGTGTCTGTGTATGTATGTATGAGTATTGGTACTTCGAATTCTAAAAATACAAGGTGTGTTCATGGCCACAACAAACAGATGTGTAAAACTTACTGTTTAGGTGGCCGGACCCCTTCCGATCGCATTGGAAAGGTGTTTTTACTAACCTTTTTTTTGCACGCCGCACCAATCTCCAATTTTGGTAATCTCAGCAAATCTGATGCTTTCCCACAGGCTGCAATAGGCTCCCATAGGAAAGTATTAGGAGGCTATTGCACATGTGCAGCAAAACGCAATACTGCGTCAATCAGCATCTCCTCATAGAGATGCATTGAGTCAATGCATCTCTATGGGGAACTTTCAGCGCCTCCATGCAGAACATGGAGACGCTGAATGTAGACAAGGAAGCACCTCTAATGGCAGTCTGAGATACTGCCACTAGAGGTGATACTAGGCAGCAATATAACCAATTGCTAAGAAAAATTCAGGCAGTGTTTACATCGAAAAATCTTCAGGGACAGGCTATAGACATCAGAATCACTACATTAAGCTGTAGTGGATCTGGTGACTATAGTGTCCCTTTAAGAGTCATTTTTGTTGTTGAAAATAAAGCTTTGTTTAACCCCTTCGCAACTGCGGATGTACCAGGTACGTCCAACAAAAAATGGTCGTTAACGACCTCGGATGTACCTAGTACGTCTGCAGTATTCCTATTGACAACTCATAAAGTCCACTATCGGCAAATCAGGACCCTGCGGCGTCCATAGTGCTGCCTGCAGGGGGACTGTATGAACTGACCAGGAGTCCCCCTGCTGGTGAAAAAATAAAATAAAAAATGTTCTGCATCTGTAAAATAAAAAAAATAAAAAATAATAAATCAAAATATTATTATATATGTCTATATATATCTTATATATAACGTCATACTAAGTGTATTTTTTTATTAATATAAACATATATTAATATAAAAATACACTTGGGGTAAAAATACACGTGTAATATATTATTATTGTCACGAATGCTAGTGTGGTCCAACATGCAGAAACTATGTAAACATATACATAGAAATAAGAAAGGAAATATAAAGGACAGAACGTAAACCGGTCCTCAGAATGGCCGGACTAATAAGTAAGAGACAGAGAATGGTCAAAGGAAAGCCGAGGTCAAGAAAGCCAGAAATACTCAAATACCGTTTAAACAAGCCAAGTCAGGGGAACCAGAAAATTGGAAATAACAAGGAATAGCCAAGGTCAAAATACCAGAATATCAGAATCACAAGGATAAACGCACTCTTGGGAACCAGGAACAGGAAAGCACGAAAGGGCAAGGTTCTGGGGTGAATCAAGGATTTAAATAACCCTCTCTAGACTCTGATTGGTCAAAGGGTGACCTCAGACCCCAGAACGTGCGCGTGCCTTGACGTCGTGACGTCACGTGCACGTTCGTATAATTATAGGAGGCGGAGCAATCGATGGACGTGACCACATGGTCGGCGCCATCTTTGATTTGCCGGGGCAACGTGGAGGAGCAGTTCCCGCCGAGCAGGTAGGCTCAGCATGTTGGCCCAGTCGTGCCGGTCAGGCACCGACGCGCATCGAGGGGAGCCGTGACAATTATAAAAAAATAAATAATGAATTTTTAAAAGATAACATTTTAAAATATTTTTTTTTACAATTATGTCATTTTATTCTAACTGTATTTTGCTATTTATATATATATATATATATATATATATATATATTAAAATACACTTAGAATGAAATTATATATATATATCTATGTATATATAAATAAAAATAATATGAAATATACATATGTCCATATACATAATTACATAAATAACTATATAAATATACTCGCAGACTTCAAATATATAAATATGTATATACAGGGAGTGCAGAATTATTAGGCAAGTTGTATTTTTGAGGATTAATTTTATTATTGAACAACAACCATGTTCTCAATGAACCCAAAAAACTCATTAATATCAAAGCTGAATATTTTTGGAAGTAGTTTTTAGTTTGTTTTTAGTTTTAGCTATGTTAGGGGGATATCTGTGTGTGCAGGTGACTATTACTGTGCATAATTATTAGGCAACTTAACAAAAAACAAATATATACCCATTTCAATTATTTATTATTACCAGTGAAACCAATATAACATCTCAACATTCACAAATATACATTTCTGACATTCAAAAACAAAACAAAAACAAATCAGTGACCAATATAGCCACCTTTCTTTGCAAGGACACTCAAAAGCCTGCCATCCATGGATTCTGACAGTGTTTTGATCTGTTCACCATCAACATTGCGTGCAGCAGCAACCACAGCCTCCCAGACACTGTTCAGAGAGGTGTACTGTTTTCCCTCCTTGTAAATCTCACATTTGATGATGGACCACAGGTTCTCAATGGGGTTCAGATTAGGTGAACAAGGAGGCCATGTCATTAGATTTTCTTCTTTTATACCCTTTCTTGCCAGCCACGCTGTGGAGTACTTGGACGCGTGTGATGGAGCATTGTCCTGCATGAAAATCATGTTTTTCTTGAAGGATGCAGACTTCTTCCTGTACCACTGCTTGAAGAAGGTGTCTTCCAGGAACTGGCAGTAGGACTGGGAGTTGAGCTTGACTCCATCCTCAACCCGAAAAGGCCCCACAAGCTCATCTTTGATGATACCAGCCCAAACCAGTACTCCACCTCCACCTTGCTGGCGTCTGAGTCGGACTGGAGCTCTCTGCCCTTTACCAATCCAGCCACGGGCCCATCCATCTGGCCCATCAAGACTCACTCTCATTTCATCAGTCCATAAAACCTTAGAAAAATCAGTCTTGAGATATTTCTTGGCCCAGTCTTGACGTTTCAGCTTGTGTGTCTTGTTCAGTGGTGGTCGTCTTTCAGCCTTTCTTACCTTGGCCATGTCTCTGAGTATTGCACACCTTGTGCTTTTGGGCACTCCAGTGATGTTGCAGCTCTGAAATATGGCCAAACTGGTGGCAAGTGGCATCGTGGCAGCTGCACGCTTGACTTTTCTCAGTTCATGGGCAGTTATTTTGCGCCTTGGTTTTTCCACATGCTTCTTGCGACCCTGTTGACTATTTTGAATGAAACGCTTGATTGTTCGATGATCATGCTTCAGAAGCTTTGCAATTTTAAGAGTGCTGCATCCCTCTGCAAGATATCTCACTATTTTTGACTTTTCTGAGCCTGTCAAGTCCTTCTTTTGACCCATTTTGCCAAAGGAAAGGAAGTTGCCTAATAATTATGCACACCTGATATAGGGTGTTGATGTCATTAGACCACACCCCTTCTCATTACAGAGATGCACATCACATAATATGCTTAATTGGTAGTAGGCTTTCGAGCCTATACAGCTTGGAGTAAGACAACATGCATAAAGAGGATGATGTGGTCAAAATACTAATTTGCCTAATAATTCTGCACTCCCTGTATATTTAAATTCTACGTGCATTTTTATGTAATATTTTTACATAATTAAGTCATTTTACTGATTGCCATTTGGGGGACCTTTCTGACAACCGAAAGTCCAGAGAATTTAATTTGCTAGCACTGTAACGTTCCAAGACACCCTAAAACCTGTACATGGGGGGTACTGTTTTACTCGGTAGACTTCGCTGAACACAAATATTATTGTTTCAAAACAGTAAAACATATCACAGCAATGATACTATCAATGAAAGTGAAGTTTTTTGCATTTTTCACACACGAATGGCACTTTCACTTGTGATATTGTTGTGATTCATTTTACTGTTTTTATGTTTGTGTTCAGCGAAGTCTCCCGAGTATAACAGTACCCCCATGTACAGGTTCTATAGTGTTTTTAAAAGTTACAGGGTCAAATATAAGGCTTGATTTTCCATTTTTTCACATTGAAATTTGCCAGATAGGTTATGCTGCCTTTAAGAGAATATGGTAGCCCAGGAATGAGAATTACCCCTATGATGGCATACCATTTGCAAAACAAGACAACCCAAGGTATTGCAAATGGGTAAGTCCAGTCTTTTTTAGTAGCCACTTAGTCACAGATTCTGGCCAAAAATAGCGTTCATTATAATTTTTGCACTTTTCACACACAAACAAATATAAATGCTAACTTTGGCCAGTGTTTGTGACTAAGTGGCTACTAAAAAAAACTGGACATACCCCATATTGAATACCCTGGGTTTTCTACTTTATAAATGTGTACATGTGAGGTGTGATTCAGAGATTTATGACAGATAACAGTGTTTCTTTATTCTGCTACACACACACGTCTTGGTGAGATTAGTGGGAGTTACACTACCAGGTGGCAGCTCCACCGTGAATTGTGGAATCATGATCTTGGGGTACGTTGAATATGCACAACAGTAAATTCTATTTTAAAAGACAGTTGCTCAAAATTTACATTCTATACTTTGTGGAAATGGTGGAACCTACAGCCACAGGCGTGCCCCAGAACTAGAAATGTTAAAGATGAGGCAGTGTGAATGGCAATATATAAATCTATCTCTGGAGGGCGCCAAAAGAACATCTTGTAAATAAGTAGGGCCAGCTAGAAGGAAAATATTTTTTATTGTGAAAACATACTAGTTTGAAGAGAGAACTCATTGGTGGAGGTTACAGTGACTACAGTATTTGTTACACATTAATTGGAGGAACCCTCCAAACACCACAAACACTACAGTGAGCTGTAGTGGTTGTGATGCTAGAAGTGCCCTGGCACCTCTATTGTAAGTAGTCAAACAGTTTGTTTTTTTAAAACAATTTGACTTCTTACTTGTAGTCAATCAGGCACAGATTTCCACTACCACTACTAATGCTAGAGAGCCGGAAGTTCCTAAGTAGGAACTTCTGGTAGCTCTCCTGAGCTATACCCTGCAATGCAGGTCTTACCTCATTGGCTGAGCGCTTAGTGCAGGGCAGTCCATAGCAGAAGAGCTATCAGACAATCCCACTCTCTGGCATTAGTAGTGGAGACTGGGATTGGTGCCCGGCGTACTCTAGGTAAGAAGTCAAATTATTCAAAAATGGTTTGACTACTTACACTAGGGAGCAGCAGGCCACTCCTGGCACTATAATAACTACACAGTGCTGAGTGGTTATGGTGCTTGCAGTATTTCTTTAAACCATGGCATATATTGCTGGGCATTGAAAGCAAGAAGCAGCATCTACTGTAGAAAGCTAATGGATAAAAAAAATAGAACTCTTAGACCGGGCAGAGCCTAGCTACTGAGCGGAGCAGACGTGTGTTGGCTGGGCTCCCTACTCCAGCTACTAAGTGATTTAATATACTCACAAACATCTCTCAGGTTGGGGATGCCCTTCTAAAAGGTCTGAGACTTCACTCAAGACAACAGTCTGCTGGAGACACAAGGTGCCTGGCTGTGGCCTACCATGGATGGGGCTAGGGAGAGGAGGTTGATCTCCTTAAAGGGACACTATATACACCCAGACCACACAGCTTATTGAGAGAAACTGCAATGTTTACATTGCAGCTCTAAGTCTGCCTCCAATGGCTGTCTACCAGATAGCCACTAGATGCGCTTTCTGGATGCGAGAGAAGGGAGAGGCAGAGGGAGCTATAGTGCCAGCTATACAGATTTGTATTTTTGGCCCTTATAGTATCCTTTTAAGCTCCAATTCTTTAGCCTGTTTGTGCGACTTCATATCCCCCTGCCCCCTCCCTCTGGACCGGGGAGGGTTATCCTAATCTGCTCTGCACCAACTACACTGCTCCTACTACAAGTTCACTGCTTCCCCACGACAGGCTGAACAGGGCCTGCGCTCACCCATGAGCGTGAATCTGCAGTTCCCTACTCGAACTTTCTAAGCCGCACTCCTCCTTTACCAATGTTGGGGATTGGCTGATCCACCTGCAATAATGGCGGATGCTGTGTACTCTGCAACACACATCTTGACGTACATGTTCTCTTTGATATTGTGATTTTTACTTTGCCCTGATTGTCTGTTTTTTTTTTTTGCTTTATGTTTAATTTTATTTTTATTTGTTTGTGAGCTGCTTTTGTTTAAAGTCCAGGAGACCCAGTGGCATGACAACCCTATGTTTGGGAAGCTCTAAATGCTATAGAATCTGTGCTTTAGGGTGTGACTAGTTAGGCATTTCTAGCCTGTTACCACTCAATGCAATCTTGTAAAATACTCATCTTTCAACCTGACCCACAACCTACACTAGCCTTCATGTCTCTGACCTACAGCACCTCCTTTCACTCCAGACAAGTCGACCCTGTCAGTGAATGCTTGTTATTCTTAATCCTACTATCTTGACTACTCACATTGTCAGTTTAACCAGCCTATTTCAATCCCTACTCTTGTCCACCCAACCACTGACAAACTGATGTTGCTGTCCTATTATTTAAAAAAAATGTATATCTACTCCACAACTCATATTTGTTTTTTCTGTACACTGTAAATCATTTGCCTCAATAAAAGAAAGAATGTCGTCAACAACAAAAAATAGAACTCTTAGATACCCGAGACTTTTTTACATTGATTTGTTTTCAGAGACAATTCAGCACATAATGTACAACAATCTGGGGTGTTGCAAGACATTGGTAGATCATTAAAGAAATCAGAATACAGAAGGGCCTGACAACAAAATTTCACATGGACCTTAAGGTTTTTGTAAAACTTGTAAATAATTATTTAATTATTATTTAATTATAATTATACATAACCCAGTATAATTAGTCAAATAGCTTTAGTATAGCATGATAACTTAACCGCATACTTTACTTCTGGTCTTCTCCTTAGGAGAATCCGATCAACTCGAATTTCTATTATGCTAAGTAGGGCCATGCACGATCGTGCTCATTGAGAGTATTACATGAGTACTCTCAGCCAATGAGAATGGGTCTGTGTCGGCAATGCTAGTGGAAATAGATATAGCCTGCTTCTCCTGCTGGAGAAAAATAAATGTAGGACTGGAGATTTGGTGGACCCAGGTAACTTGTCAAACTGTACTTAAATGGTTTGAAAAATTACAATGAGATTAGCGCCAGGGCCATTGTGGTACCATAACCACTACAGCAGGCACTAGTAGTTATTGACATTGGAGTGGTCCTTTAACAAACTTTACAAAACTAAATACGCTATCCTTATGGATATGTTTCAAAGCTTTAATGTAGGATAATTATTTTTTTAATATAGGATATATAGATATTTTGCAGCAATTTGCAGGTGTTTTTAGTCAGGAGCAGGTGGTACGTTTCACCTTTTTGCATGGAAACTAAGGTACTATTTAGTGTCCTATTAATCTCTATGGGAGACATTAAAAGATTCAGCAGCCATTAATTACCTGTCACAATAACAATTTGTGGCATGGAAATTACTGGCAAACGCTAGAAATAGTGACAACCATTTTAGCGATTAATGACTTCTCGCTAAATTATTGCAACTAGCATGGAAACAAGCTCAAAGTAGCTATTATATTTGGGGGGTATGGTTATAGGACATTAACAGGTTTAGCTTTTATGATTGTGGGTTTGTTTTGGGGATTATAGACATTTTGAAAATTACAAAAATTAAATGATATTCAGCAATTATGTGTGCATGGACACTGGGGTTGTCATTCTTAAAGGGACACTATAGTGTACAAATGTGTATTCCTGACACTATATGTCTAAATAGCTGTTTAGACCCCTGGCTCCCTTTTACCTGCGGTTAAAAAGGTTATTCACCCATCTTTTTCCATCGCCACAATGCTCTGCTCCTTTGGCTGAGATCATCAGACTTGATGATCTCTGCCAATACAATGCTTTCCCACAGGAAAGCATTGGGAGGATATCGCGTATATGCGGCAAAACATCACTCTGTGTCAATCAGCATCTTCTCATAGAGATGCATTGAATCCATGCATCTCTATGAGAAAAGATCAGTGTCTCCATGCAGAGCGTGTAGATGCTGAACGTCAGTGCTCTACGTTGTGCAGCACTTACCCAGAAAGCACCTCTAGTGGCTGTCTGAGTGACTGCCACTGAAAGTGTTACTAGGCAGTTATGTAAACACTGCCTTTTCTCTAAAAAGATCGTATTTTACATTAAAAAGCCTGCAGGGACAGACTATACTCACCAGAACAACTATATTAAGCTGTAGTTGTTCTGGTGTCTATAGTGTCCCTTTACACTTTGTGCAGGTTGACTGAATGCCAAAAGTAGTCTGATATTATGCATTTTATTTAGTCAAAGATGTTCTTGCACTGTTATTTTGTATTTACGTTTTTCTTTTATGTATTTGAGCTTTTGAAGAACTATTTTGGAGTGATTCTACATTTGCATGTGAGTATTATAAAGACTTCTAGCGCACAGCTCACTTTTTAAAATTCTGATTAACAACCAGAATAGATTTGTGAGTGTTTATTTGTCTGACAAATGTTGGGATTTAGGTTGTTTGCTTTGTGTAGGTATTTAAAGTTGTTTATTAGCAGCCAGGTCATGCCAAGATCAGGTTAGTCTATAATGTAATGGTAAGCCATACCTATAAAAAGTAAAAATCAAGGAACTCAAAAGACATGCATGCGAGGTGGGCACCCCAAATCCAACTTATATACTTGGGCAGGTGCTAAGAACACCTGGAATAGTCTGCTGCTGCCTCCAGATAAGGTAGTAACCTGTACCATGGGTAATTATTTAAACCACTTAGGAAGATTTTAGTATACATTTCCTAAATGATCTGGTAACAATAATTGTAGGCCCTATTTAGCAAAGTATATCAGAGAGTGGTCTCTAAATACATTTGGTAGTGTACCTACATCCTGAAATCTGCTTGAGCTATTAATATTAAAATTGACTTTTAATTACATTTTGTATTCCCAATAATTCTCAATTTCATGACGTTTTAGTAACGCCACCATCTCAACTCTTTTTCAAATCACTGTTTAGTGAATCGACTCCTAAGTGTCTACACTACACAGCACCCAGACCACCTCAATGGGCTGAAGTGGTCTGGGTCCCCACAGTGTACCCTTAAGTAGCCTTATAAGATTTAGAAATCAGATTACCTTAAAGGGACACTATAGTCACCTGAACAACTTTGGCTTAATGAAGCAGTTTTGGTGTATAGAACATGCCCCTGCAGCCTCACTGCTCAATCCTCTGCCATTTAGGAGTTATATCCCTTTGTTTATGAACCCTAGTCATACCTCCCTGCATGTGACTTGCACAGCCTTCCATAAACACTTCCTGTAAAGAGAGCCCTATTTAGGCTTTCTTTATTGCAAGTTCTGTTTAATTAAGATTTTCTTATCCCCTGCTATGTTAATAACTTGCTAGACCCTGCAAGAGCCTCCTGTATGTGATTAAAGTTCCATTTAGAGATTGAGATACAATTTATTTAAGGTAAATTACATCTGTTTGAAAGTGAAACCAGTTTTTGTTTCATGCAGGCTCTGTCAATCATAGCCAGGGGAGGTGTGGCTAGGGCTGCATAAACAGAAACAAAGTGATTTAAATCCTAAATGACAGTGCATTGAGCAGTGAAATTGCAGGGGAATGATCTATACACTAAAACTGCTTTATTTAGCTAAAGTAATTTAGGTGACTATAGTGTTCCTTTAATATGTATTATGTGGGAAACTGGGGGGACATTTAGGAAACAGAGATGAACTGGTGAGATTGGGTAGACATTTAGGGAAAAACAGACCGACCAAAGAGACATTTAGGTAAAGGAGTTGCACCAGTGAGAAATTTAGGGATAGGAAAAAGACCAGAAAGAAAATTAGGTTAATGGATAGAGAGATTGTTGAGTTATTTAGGAAACAGAGACAAACTAGGAGACATTTTAGGAGAGACACAGTGAGCAAACATTTAGTGAAAGAAAGAGACAGCCTAATATAAAAAAAACCACATACATTACATGCATTTACACACACACACTGATACATACACCTATACACTCACGCTCCCTAATAAAAACAATCAACCACACACAGTGCCTATTACATACATCCAGGGCTGGTGCAAGGATTGTTGACTACACAGACGAAGATGCATTTTGCTGGCCACCTGCCCCCTACCCCCACCACATAAAAAAAATATCTTCCCCTGTGTGCCTCATAACCTCTCTTTTGAATTTCTTACCCCTTTAGTGCTTTATATCTGTTACGGTTGCCTCCAGGCTGGCTGGAAGTTGGAGCGTAGAAAGGATGCTCCTAGCGCTCACCAAAGGACCATCAGCACCATAGACACTATAAGCACTGCAGACTCCACGAACCGCCGCTGATGGGCTGGGATCTCGCCGTCTGCTATCCACCCTGGACCTACGACCAGGTTCCAGTAGGTGAACCTCTTCCTTCTGTAGAGCGAAGCAGGATCAGGAACAAGAGCTCTTACAAGAGCTCAGTAGCTAAGGAAGTATGAAGAGCATAGTGTAGCTAAGGGAGTATGAAGAGCGTAGTTATTATAGCTGTCCCCTACAAACATGAGTCGAGGCTGCAAGTTAGAGGGTCAAGTAGTTCTGTTTAATTGGCACCAAAGGGCCTTCTTTTATGGAGGTCTTACACATACAGGACCGCCCACAGGGTTTTGCAGAACAACCAATAAACACGTAACATACAGTAAAAACACACCCATCAATAACACACAAATCCTCCCCTCTGCCTGTGATATAATTGCTGAACACAATGGGTTAAAGTAATTATCACAGGCCGTTCGTGCATTTAGCTTAGTATAGCAGTGAGTTCAAACTGCCGAACGGGACTCTGCGGCTTCAAACTTAGTGTAGGAAAAGGTGGGGGTCAGCGGTGTTCGTCTAAATGTGTAGCCGATTTCAGTTCTATGAATTTGGCTACACATACCGCTGACCTCGTTCGAATAAACAAAGCTGGCCGCCGCCACGTGTTGGTTTGCACGAACTGCGGCCACCCAGTGGTCGGCAATTTACCTACAGCAGGCTCCCAGCCTGGCAGGTAAATTGCCTGCACACTTCCACTTCTGGGTCGTCCGTCTGTGTGGTACTTGGTTCAGTAAGCCCCATTTACTGAACCAAGTGGAAAATAGCAATGAACAAAGGATTTTAACCAAGTCTGGGGACACAGGCTTAAAGGGGCAGTGTCGCAAACAAATCTGGGGACACCGTCTTAGAGGGGCATTGTCCCAATTTTCCCTATGTCCCAAAAATGTGCTTTAAGGGCCAGCACCAGTCCCATAAAAGTCCATAAGCCCCAATATACTCACAGACTGTTCTTAAAGGGCCATAGTCATGAGGAAGGAGGCTGGCGATAAGGCTTCTCCATAATACAGGGAAGCAGGGCAATTTGTCTCTTAAAGAGACAGTTTAAAAAGGCATTTTGTAACAATATCCCTCTTGAATGTGAACTCCTTTTGCCCTTTTGTTTGTGTGTTACACTAAAGGGAGGATATAATACACTAAAGGGAATGTGTTTTACACCCCATTGTCTCTTACCTCCCCACCAGCCCCTTCTGTGTCACTGTGCTTTTGTGTGAGGGATAGGAACTTTATTATTATTATTTGTATAGCGCCGACAAATTCTGTAGTGCTGAACAATAGGGCTTTAGTGGGGGAGGGGAGGGGAGGTGTAGTATTGTGGGAGATTGGGGCTTTATTGTGATGGTGACAAGGGCCGTATTGTGGCGGATTGATTATTTAATGTGGGGACAGGGGCCGTATTGTGGCGGATTGATTATTTAGTGTGGGGACAGGGGCCGTATTGTGGAGGATTGATTATTTAGTGTGGGGTGACAGGGGCTGTATTGTGTGGGATTGATTCTTTAGTATGGGGGATAGGGGCTGTATTTTGGGGTTTGGGGCTTTAGTGGTAGGGTTAAGAACAGTATTGTGGGGAATGGGACTTTTAGGTGGTGGGATAGGGGCAGTATTGTAGGGGATGGGGCATTACTGAGGGGATAGGGGCAGTATTGTGGGGATTGGGGCATTGGTGAGGGGATAGGAATGGTATTTTGGGGAGTATGGGCTTTAGTGTGGGAATAGGGGCAGTATTGTGGGGGGGTTGATTTTTTAGTATGAGGGGATAGGGGCGTTAGTGGCAGGGTTAGGAACAGTATTGTGGGGAATGGGGCTTATGTGTGGTGGGATAGGAGCAGAATTGTGAGGTATTTGGGGCATTAGTGAGGGGATAGGAACGGTATTGTGGGGGATTGGGGTTATGGTGAGGGGATAGGAACAGTATTGTGGCGGTTGGGGCTATGATGGGAGGAGAGGACCAGTATTGGGGGGTTGGGGCTTTAGTGGGGGACAAGGGCAGTATTGTGGGGGACTGAGGCTATGGTGGGAGGATAGGAACAGTATTGGGTCAGGACAGCATTGTGGGGGACTGGGGCTATGATGGGGGGATAGAAACAGTATTGTGGGGAGTAGAGGCAGTATTGTGGGGAGCTGCAGACCATGGATCTCGCGAGACCAAATCAGAGCGTTGCAAAGGTAACCCGTGGCAACGCTCTGATTTTACAGTGCTCGCGAGACACATGGTCTGCTGCAGACCGGTCTCGGCCATGGGCGCAGGAGGGGCATTGCAGTCTGCCCCAGACTACCCCCTAGTGAGTGGAACCCGGGGCGGACCGCCCCACTCCCCCCCTGGTTCGCCACTGCATACACACACACACACCTTTTTTTTTTTTTTTTTTACAATCCACCCAGTCTCCCTACCGGAAGAGCTGGAGTGGATCCTGGGGTCTAGTGAGCTGCCTATCTGCTCCTCTGAGGGAGCTCCGATCAACATCAGCATGTCCTGTGTAGCTCCCACGCTCGCCCCCTAGTGGTGCCTGGGCTGGACTGTGACGTCATATTCCGGCTCCCATGACCTTTACAGGGCGTGCAAGGGAGTTATACAAAACTGACACTCCGCGACGGGCAGCCAAGGTACTGGGGCTCAGCCACGCTACAGGAAATGACCGACCGGAAAGGAGCACTGTGCGCTTCCCTCTTGCTGGTCACCCGGATATTTGCGCCCCCAGGCTGATGCGCCCTAAGGCGGCCACCTGTGCTGCCTTATAGTAGCGCCAACCCTGCATACATCCATACACACACAGTGCCTAATACATATATCCATACACCCATAGTGCCTAGTACATACACCCATAGTGCCTAATACATACATCCATACACACATAGTGCCTAATACATACATCCATACACCCATAGTGCCTGATACATACACCCATACACACATAGTGCCTAATACAGAGAACCATACACCCATAGTGCCTGATACATACACCCATACACACTTAGTGCTTAATACATACATCCATACACACAGTGTTTAATACATACATTTTACATTGAATACATAATTTATCACTGTGACAAATT